AATGAAGAAATACTCAGTAATTCTCTATAAAAACAAGTTATTCAATGCTAAGTAGGGGTGTAGAACTCCACTGGGGAAGAACCTGTGAATCCCACGGCTGTTGCTGATGTGACCCTGGGCTTATTCCTTGTGTCACCATTCTATCTGCTCACAGTTAAACATGCAGATAAATTCAGCAGACTTTGTAACTCAAAGGCTGCACTTTGAAACCAAGTCCTTCAACTTTAAGAAGGGGATGCATTAAAAAAAAAAAAATCTCATTTAGTCATTTTCTAAGGTCACTAATATCACTTCAATGACAGGCTCCAACTGAAATAAAAGTATCAAACTAATGAGAATTTAAAACAAAGACAAAGAAACCATCTACTGTGTTGGATGTTTAATCCCTCCACAAGGATTAGACAATAATCCTGTACTACAGAACACACATGCCAACACCAGAGTCAAGCCCTTCTTTCCTGTTACATCATGCAAAGATTTAATTGCAAAGTAATTAGAACTTGTTTAGGTGATGCACAGTGCCCTGCACACTGAACTGTAAGTCACCCATACCTTGCTCAACAGGGACTTTTTTCTACGTGATCCTTTCCCTATCAGTAAATCTGCATTCATCATCTTTTATTCTGCATCCCTTCCAGGGTGGTTCACGCCCTTCCCTTCCTGCAACAAGTCCTGCTCCCCAAAAAGGTACATCTGCGCAATGGACTTCAAAACTAACACAAACCAGGGAGGTCAAAGGGGAAGTTGGTTGTTTCAAAAAGAAACTAAAAATTTACAAAGCAGCTGCCAATTAGCCAGACCTTAATTCTGCAAATTTATTTAGGAAAAAAAAAAACTTAACATGAGCAAATGAGAATACTTCAGTGTTACAAGAGAGTATATAAATGTCTAGCAATAGTCAAATAATTTGATCCTTAAATACAAAATAACCACATGAACACCTAATATACAGGTTTCATCTGAATACATATTTATTAGATAAATATTAGGTTGTCACATCATCTAACTACATACAGTTTTGCAAGACTAAAAATCACAATTATCTTTTCTGACCAGTTTAAAGTATGAAATGATTGCATTGTACTGTACATACAATGTACAAACAAAGACGATGGCCATTTTTGCATGTTACTTCAGATTGTACTTTTTTTTTTAATTCCACTCTGATTGTGATATCAAAAATTGTACAAAGTATGAATTTGGTTACAATTTTTTTTTTTAATCCCCGTATTTTTCTTCATTATTTCTGTAGCACCCTAAAAATACACAGGTGATAGACTAGTACACATAAGCTAAATATTACATGTAGATAAAACAAAACAAAGGATCAGAGTATATTACAGAAGTGAAAGTGAAACAAATGCTGAGACTCCACTAACGCTAACAAACAGGATTCATTTTCCACATAAGATGGAGCTTCAAGCTTTTTTTTTTTTTCCTGCAAAATAAAAACAATGCACATTCCAAGGAAAATGAATGCGTTTCTGTTAACATGTCTCTATTTGTCATTTACATATGTACAGCTGTCCCTTGAGTCTCCGCTGCAGACACTGGCGTGTATCTGTCAGTCCTATAATAATGTCTTGGCAGCAGAACTGTAGATCTCTGTGGGTTCTTTCCCAGATGAACTTCCATAGGGAAACAATTAAAAAGTAAACAAACAAAAAAAGAAGAATAAAAATACTACTGGAATTTCATATAATAATTAAGCTTTAAAAGAAATGACTGTGATTACCCTATTTGCTAGTTTTTTTCTCTAAACTTTAATACGGCAGTGAACAGATAAAAAAATAACTACATTTTCATTTAGAAGCTTTTTCATACTGACTCCACTGTACAGTACCTGATTTTAGCTGACAGGTAAGTTTTAAAACTGTCTCAAATGTCCAACATTTGGGTGATGGGTAAAAATAATTTTTTCACTCTTAAATTCTCTGGAAGCTTAAAAATGTCAACCGTCCACTTTAATGCTCTGTTACTGTACAAAGCAGATGCAAACACTGCTCCAAACATATTGCTAATATCTATGGGTTTTTTTTTTCCCTTTATGCTTTCCAACAGGTACTTTTAAATGATATATTTTAAATACTACCAGTTAGCAAAAGGTCAATCCTTAAAATACGTGGTTTAAAATACTAATGTTGTGTTTAAGAGAAAATTCATTTCAGGTGACTAACTTAGCTGCTCAGGAATCAATGGAGAGTGGAACATTAAATAGAATCAATTAAAAAAAAATCTGAGCAACCAGTTCCAACTAATTGTGAGAAATCTTCTCTATTCCCAAACCTATGGCCTAAGAACTTCCCCCCCCAAACAAAACCCCCAAACTCTAAGGGCATAGTCAGTTTATCATTAGCCGGCCTTGCAAATGACTTCAATACCTATATAAACAATGCAGCAAAAATACAGGGGGAAACTACTACAGTAAAATGGCTACAAAACTGATCTGTAAGTGAAGAACGGTCTTTGCTAGGAACTGGGTGATGGCAGCACCACACCACAACCTAATACCATGTGTTACACCAAAGTATCTTTCAATATTCTGCAGAGATCCCCTACAGGTTGTCAAGCCTACATAAGAAAAAGACACTTCTAAGCAGAATAGAATATACTATACTGTTTCCCTCCCCCACCCATGAACATCCCCAAGTGTTACCATGCCCCAGTTGCAGAGACTAGAGCACCAGTATAGTGATATAAACATGGTACCTTACACACTCGCTGTTTGCCTTAGTGCATCTTTACCTGTTCAGATAGCTGGTCCTAGGTGCTCTGCTCACTTGGGCAAATTAACAAAATCTTGGCCATTACCAGCCCACAATCACCCACAGTCAATGAACATCAGTTGGTTAGTTGGGTTGTGTTTTTTTTTTTTTTTTCTTTTCCCTAGGTAATCAGTTATTATTATGTTTCCATGACAGAGCTGGGCCCTGATTGTCCAGGTATTTGCCTGGCGTATCAATTCATTAATCACAGAAATGGATATGAAATTTGGGCTAATTTATCAAAAGAAAACTGGGGAGAAAAAAAAAAATAAAAAAAAACCAACTCCCTTATTCTGTTAAAGAACCCTCAATTTTCTTTTTTAAAAAAGGACCCATATTTTTCTTCAGACAAGGTATTTAAAAACACCAGCAAAAGTATAACCAGATCATGAAAATGTTGAATATTATCAAAGACGATACTAAAATATTCACAAAGATATTTACAATAGCAATTCTTAAAATAATTGATTTTGCATAATGAACAGCGCCTTTCTTAAAAAAACTTGAAAGAGGAAAAATATAAGTGTGGGACCATCTCTACATAATACGCTTAACAGATTCAATACTCTACTGGAAAACGAAAGAACTAAACCGCCATTTCCTTTAATATCTACAGCAAGGTGCTGCTGACTAGCATATATATCATGATGCATCTACAGCAGTAGTGGGAAACGTTAACAAAACCAGTAAACTAAAACAAAAAAAGGAAAAGAATTTACAAATATGACTTTGGTGAGGAAAGCAAATCCAGAGTCGTAAGCACAGAGCATGCCATTTACAGCACTGCAAACTAAACACAGAGGGCTAAGAAGCTACCTAGTCAAACTGACAGAACAAACAAAATTTTGCCTGGCACCTCAGTTTAAAATGTACTGTGGTGAGCAAACTAAGGGTGTTTGACTGGATTTGGGATGAGGGTCGTAATGGAGTAGGGTCAAATTTGCTTTAGTAACAAAAAGAAACAAAACCAATAACTGTACAGTGGGCAAAAGCTGAAATGTCGCACCACAAGGGCAAAGTTGGCACACATGCACTTCTTACACAGCTACTGTACATCATTTATAAGAGAGAGCAAGAGAGAGAGAGACGAAGAGCACATAAATGGGCACAGAAGCAACAGGGAGCTCATGCAGCAGCAGCAACCACACAAGAAGCACAGATCACAGGGGCAAGACAGTGACTGTGGCAGCAGGGTCTCTTGAGGGCAGTAGCAATCTACTGAGAGATACTTATTCTCCCCGTGCCCGGTCCTTCGGGAGAATGAGCTCATCCTGGCAGCCAAGGTTTAAAAAAAGAAAGTGAAGGAGGAGAAAAGAAAAAGGCTGATTTCTCTGTAACAGTCATGAAAATGGAACATAAAGCAAAACAAAAATGAAGCTGTGAGATGTCTGTCCAATGTCAATGCCCCTTCTCAAGCCAATTATTAAAAATAATTATGCAGATAGAGATGTTACTCTTCCTCCATCCTGCAGTGATTTCCTGGCTGCCTTCAACCCAGCTTGTCTTACGATGTATTGTGCAGTACAGACAGTGACACAAACACCCAGGGCACCAAAGGCTGTAGGTAATAATTAGGAAAAGTTTGGTTTGCATTCCCCCTCCCTCTCTTTTCCATTCCACATGGCATGTATGGCAAAAAGATCTATTACAGCAATCACAACAGCTGGATGTCAATGCAGCCACAAACAGTACCGATTTGGAACCAAAACCACAAAAAAACCCCTACACATTACAAACTTTTTTTTTTTTTTAAATTTTTCCTGGGTGTTTCCAATCTGTATGTTTGGCCAGAAGAACCCTCTGCAAAAAGGCAGTTAAGATTCCTGCGCTTGCAGAAATACCAACACCCACAGCTGCAGCCTGGAGATTCTCAGGACTCCATTGCTGAATCGCATTAGCTAAACCGCTGGCTCCCTCTGACAGGCCTGTATGTCTTCCCTATCTTTGCCACTCAACTGTAGGATTTGTGCTTTTTTTGAGCCTTGTACATGTTTTTGTTTTTCTTGTTGTGTGTGGCCAGGACAATTACTCCAATGCAAACCTGTGGTTGGAGGAGGGCAGAGGGGAGGTGGGGTGGAGGGAGACAGAGTTTCAAAAAAATGGAAGAACATGTGTCAGAAGGACACTCTGAGACAGGTCAATTAAAGACAGTTCCATTTTGTTGCCTTTTCTTCCCTCGCCAAGATTTGTTTTTGCCAAGAAACTTCACACTATGTTTATCACAGAACTCTCTCTCTAGAGGATGAACAACAAATGGAGTTTCCAATAGCTGCACAACTGTCTATGCTTGCTCTATCACATGTAGCACAGCAGACTCAGAGATTACTGCATTTATTTATTTTTGTATTTTTTTTTCTCCTGTCACTTTTGCAGTCTTTGAAGCTGACAAAAGCAGTTCTGAGATGAAGAAAGCAGGGAGTGCACCATTGGATCAAGTTGTGAGGTTTTTTTCTTCTCTTGTGGAAAAGGAGCGTTAAGATTCCTCGCTGTGCAGCCACACACATGTGAACAAGTGAAAGGGGTGGGGCAATATATATGGTTTCAGTTGTTCTCAAAGAGAGACAGAAGGTCATCATTGCTATTGCTTGGCAAATCGGGAGGATCCAGGTACGAAAGCAGCTCATCTGGATTTGTGAGTTCTGGAAGCAGCTATAAAATATAAAGATAAAAGGAAAATTACAGATAACAGAAACACAATTGATGAAAAAAGGGATTAAACACCACACGTTTCTGGAAACTGGATTTCATACGTATATGTCCAAATAAATTGGAAGGCAGTGACACAAACCTAACACCCTAAGGCGATGCAGTATCCACTTGTTTGTGAAAAGTCTGTATTACTCAGTTTGCATCTGTAAATTACGTTACGGTATCAGTTAGGATTTCTCAATCAACCTCCCCATCACAAAGTTCAACAATAAACAAAGTATATTTCCTGGCTAGCAACCCTGACAAAAACTTCTCCATAAATGCTTGTTATGTATGTTAGTTTCATAGAAAACACTGAATAAAAACTTGAAACATGCAGTTTGAGTAATACATATTTGAGCTTTAAGGTAGATCAACAAAGACTGGTCTACTGACTCGCACATGTCAGTGTGACAATCACGCGCAGCCTGCACCCCTACAGAAAGAGGCAGCCCTCCCCTTTCCTCACCCCTCAGCCACCCCCTAATGCCTCTGTGCACTGATGCAAGCTCTGGGGCAGTGAGGTGGAACAGGGAACTCCTGCTAGTTAAAACTATCCCAGAAAAAAAAAAAGAAAAAAAAAAGAAAAAAAAAAGAGCAAAAAAAACAACTGAGGAGGAGTATGGGGAGAGGAGTGGAAAGGCAGGTAAGCAAGTCCCTTTCCTCTCTGTGGCAGTGACAGTTCATGGTGGTTGGAAGTAGTTACTCAACTACAGCATTACATGCAATTCCAGACATTTTGAAGGGTCAGATGCATAACACCCCATCCAACAGAAGCAGCACTAATCTCTACAATGTTTTAAAGTATCAAAAGGAATAGCTGTAGGGGGTTTATTTATATTTTTTTAATGCTGTGTTTCAAATAGAAAATTTAATTTTTCCAACTATGACTCAGATTCTATAAAAACAGAAGGGAAGTGTTTGCAATAAACTCCCTTTATATTCAGTGTTGTGTTAAAGTAAGGACAGAAAAACATGGACTTCTTTAACAAACATAATAGTTGGTATGAGAAATTCATTAAGTTATTCTATGTTTCCAAATACTATAAAACTAAAAGCTTAACTGCATCACATTTAGCATGCAAATATGATATTTATATGCTTCTATTACTCCTGCGCAAATGCAGCTTCAACTTGAAATGTTATATGGATGAACATTTTTTCAATAATCTAAACATGAAATGCAGAAAGAAGTTTATCACTTCCTAAGCATTTTGAAAAAAAATGCAATGTCAAGTTTATATAAAGAGAATCTCCCAGAAGGAATGCTTTTCTTAAAATATCACCTCCTTTTACTCATGGTGAAAATGCTATTGTCATAGTACTACACTAACGACATAAGGCTTTTAAATGTATTTCACATGCTATCACATTTTTTATTAATACCTAGTACAGAAGCCCAAAAAAAACTGCAGGCCCACCAAATGCATAGAAAGTAAAAACCGGTTTAATTTGTCCTATGATTTTACAACTCACTTCTTAAAAATGTAACATAATGTCTCTGAGACTCATTCTTGTATACAGGGGATTTAAAAAAAATCTTTTTAGAAAGGTGAAAGTTTTAAACAATATGCTTAGTATGTCTCAAGATGAAGTCATCCAAGTTTTGAAGATGACCTGGCTTGCCTTGGTCAGAAGAGCCAAGCAGTACAGCCTGCCTCTTGTCCAGCTGGTGTGAAAACCTGAGACCTCAGAAAGGACTTGCTGGGCCTTGAGGGTGCTGTGCTGGAGCAAAAGTGAGAGACAGGGGAGTGCCAGGGGCTGTCAGGGATGGGGGCAGAAGCTACGGGAACTTACTAGGCTTAGGGGCAGAATTTGGAGAGGTGCACCCAGTGCTCCTGAAGTGAATACTTGAGTGGTCTAACCAGAGTCATTTGAGTCTTGTGCCTCTGCTGTCTGAGGTACAAGCGTAGATCACCTGTATCTGTATGAGGTATATCCTTTAACACAGGTTAAACCTTAGACTGCATCACCCTGAAGTCCTAAAGAATTAATGGGACTGTGTCAGGGAGCAGACCAAGTTGCCCATGGTACACTCCCCTGTTTGGTTTGCTGCATGGGACTATTCAGCCTGGTTCCACCACGCAGACACTGAAAGTTAAACCCATTAAAATAATCCATCTGATCATGACTGAGCTCTCAGATATTTTGAAGAACTATATTCTCCACACTGTACAGCACTTGCCTTCTCATTTAGCTAGGATAATTGCAGCCTCCCATTAAGAATCCAGCTTAATCATAGTAATCCATCAGTGATAACCGCAGTACTGTGATAAATGTACAGGTTTTTCAACTTTGCTTTTCACTGAGGAATGAGTGCCTGACCCATAACAGCAGACTTTGTCTAAATATTTGAAGAAAAAAATAACATTTTAATTTCACCTATTAATATTGCTCATATGGGCTCCTTAAGGGTTCAGACCTCTAACTGCCACACGAACTATCATTCCCAAAAGATGTGCATGTGACTGTGCTGTGTAAAACAGCAGCAGTCTGGTTCAGAGAAAAGTTACTCCACTGAGCACTGTTCCTGTAACTGGAGCATCCATCCCTCCACCTAACCCCTTCCCTCCCCTCTGTGAGGCTACCTGCCAGCACAGGGCTTGTGTTTGACAGGGAAGACGTAAATAAACAGCAACAGTAAATACAGATATAAATCCAAGGCACAGAGGTGAACATTTCTCTAAGAAAATTACACTGTGCAGCAGCAGACTTTGGAACAGACAGAAGAGATATAGATATATATATATATATATATACAGGAATGTACAACTCAAAATGAAAATACAATCCTAGTGCTAAGGAATTTAGATTTCAGGGGTTAGGTGGTTAACCAGAGAGATAGCTCAGATATTTCACTTCCAGCTCCACTGAATGGATAGTAAGAGATGGAAGATTACTTTTGGCCTTAACACTAGGTTTGTCTTTGTTTAGTTGTGAGCTGCTTCCCATAGTGGCTAAGGAGAGAGAAGATGTCCTTGTTTATCTTCCTATGTGGCGTACTGGGAAGAAGAACGTGAGCTGCTGAGCTACACACCAGTGGGTATGGATGGGCACAGCCTGGTTTTGGCTGCAGGGAGCAGGGAAAGTGCCATGGCAGGGGCCAGCACAGAGCCCCCTCCCACTGGCCAAGGCATGCTGCGGAGCTCAGCATGCAGCTCGCTCGGCACAGCTCTGCCAGTCACAACCACCTACACCGGTGTCCTTCCTCTTATTCAGGCACTGCACTGGCTTCAGGGTCTAGATGAGCACACGGGAGCCCCCATCCAGTGATGAGGGGGAGGGAGGAGATGGCTCCCAGCCTGATGCCTGAACAGCTATCTGAAGAAATGCCTGCTCTGGTGCTAGGAAAAGGCTATGGCTCACACTCCACGCAGCTGCTCAAACCAGAACCGTTCTCTCAGCAAGACAGGAGCACCCTGTCACCTCGGCTGCAGCACCTGTGCCCATGTACCAAAGCATGAAAGGATGGTATGTGCTGTGGAAGCGGCTCCCCATCCCCACGCCCTCCCCGCCCTCCCGCCGCGATGCGAAGCACACGCTATGGCAGGCAGATGAGAGTATGACACAGACTTACATCCAGCGAGGGCTCCGGCATGTCGGGTGCTCCCTGTCCACCAGCCTGACCCTCTAAGGCTGAGGAGGGATTAAAGGTCAGGTCACTGTGTGGATGGTTGCTAGAAGCGGCCGGGGGCGGCTGCCGGGACTGCTGGGTAGGAGGCCCGCTGTGATGTAATGGCTGCCCTGACTGGCTGCTGGGGTGAGGGACGTGCAAACCTTGCTGCATGGAAGTATGGGACTGATCAGTGCTGCCGGGATGAGGGATCTGCGGAGGAGGAAAAAAGCAGGAAAAGAAAGTGAGGCCACAAGGTATAGTGCTCGCAGTGCCTGACTCTGTAACTGCATGTTACAAAAAGAAATAAATACATTGAAAAAAAGACACACACACAAAACCAAAACACCAAAAAACCCCCAAAAAAGAAATAAAAAAAGCGCAATTGGAAAAGAAAACTCCATATCCCAAAGCTGGAGGACGTGTTTCAGCTTTTTGAAGGTAATCTGCAACAGGGAGATAAACATGTTGGATTTGTGCTGTTGATTTGCTTCTTTGTGATGTGGGAAACTGTGCTTGAAGATGCAAAATAACGAACCCCAAAGAGGAGAGAAGGGGGCTTACAGGTGCTGCTCAGCATTGGCAAGGCAGATGCTTTTGCTGAATAACGATATCTACTGATTAACCAGGAAACCGATTAAGCCCTTATTGGGTAGCTTCCCAACACCACTGCCTATTTACATTTCAGTTCATTCAGAACATCTTGCAAACACCAGCCCTTCCCCACTCCTCCCTTCCTTTTATTTTCAGAATGTAACGCCTCTTTTAAGGGTGGAAGACTTTCCTCACTGATCTTCAAGGGTTCTGATGGTTGACACAAAACCAAGCTGGCTCAGCTAGTGAGCTCCCCACCCATCAGCAGAGCTGCTATAGGCGGCTGCATACCTGCTGACTGACCTGCATTAGCTCAAACTAAGCTAATGATCACACTTCTATTTTGTATTCATGCTGTGGACGAGTTCTCTAGCAAAAGCTTAGTATTTTTCATGTTTTCTGTGGGGAATAAACTACCAAACCACACGCATCTTCCAAACCCAATTATGGAAGAATGAAGGAAAAGTCTTTCTCACATGACAGAGAAGCAATAAATATGCACAAGCCCAATTCTTCCTTCTGCTGCACGCCACACTTAATCCTAGTGGATTCTTTGGGGCTTGACCTTGGTGCCCCGAGAAAGAAGTGTCTGAATGCTTCAGAATCAGATGTCTCATGTTAATTGGGTATATGGAGAAGCAAAAAATGTAAACATTTTTTGAGGAATGCTACGTTTTGCTGCAAAGTGGAGCTGAAACAAAAGAATAGATACATACAACAACACCATGAAATTCATCCAGCCAAGCCAACAGAAACCAGCTAAATGTTATGTCAGCATTGACCCTTTCATACCACAGTAAACTACAAGGTTATTTTAACCTTAGTCTTCAGTTTCGGAAGGCAAAAGGGAGGTTATTACAAGACTTAATTAAAATGTTCCCACAAAATTAAAAAAAAAATACAGAAACAAGCATTTAAAAAAAATACATTTCACCAATCTCATGAAAACTGAAACCTGAATACTGATCCATTGGGACAGTCATACTCAGCCACCTGGAGGTCCTTTTCAATACTTTGGTAGTATGAAGGTTGGTGGAAATGGGCAGTATTCTATCTGCAGCACTGCATTTGGGCCTCTTTTTCATAGGAGAGTTTAAAGTAACTGTTAAAAAGTACTGATACACGCCCTTCTCTCTGCTAAGGTCACAGTTTGACTACCTGAAAGAATTCTGCAACATTACTGTCGTTACCTGAAGGGTAAACTTGTACAAAATCTGCCTGCAAACTACATCTTAATGTAAATGAATCTGCAGCCTAAAAACTTTGCAGAAGTCCACATGAAAGTAGACACCTATCCAAATAGGTATTTCATTCTTCATTCATTGAGGACATGCAACAGAAAGTGTGGAAATTAAGAAAGCTTAATAATAACTAAAACTAAAAAGCAATTTAAGACAGTGTTGCTGAATTGGTAAAGCAGTTTCCAGAAAGAAACAAAACAAAACAAGATTATCTTGAACAGTCTCTTAAATTATCCCTAAATGCACAAAGCAAGGGTCATACTGGCATGTTTATATCAATAATTATTTAAAGCAAGAGGCATTCATATATTCTCATATAGATTTCAAAATACATAAACAGGTTAGAAATTCTACATTATGTTTATATATGCAAGCATTTTATACACAGAAATATTTAGTTGATAATGTGCTATCTTGGGCCCTGAGGTAACTGCTGGATATGGAGTAATCATTTGTTGTAACACTGAGAGCTACCATGATCTTAAACAGCCATCCATCACAGGTTCAAAATCCCTCTTAGTCCACAGACTCCACCAGCCTAGCTGTGAGAAAGCAAAATGTTCAGGACTTCAACATTTTTCTATTTGTATTCAGCTAACTCATGACAAGTTTGCTGTGGTGCAAAAACATTCTAAGCAATACACTTTGTGTATGTTCAGCTTGAGCCTGCAAGTCCCATCATTTTATTTTAAAAACACTAACTATGACCACAGACTCTAATGAAAGTTGCCTTTGCTTATGTAGCAAGGTAATTCCAGAGCTGTTGTAGAACCACAAACTTTGGCACTCTTAAAACATTTACAATCTATAAAATAAAAGCTGATAGCAGACACAACTACATCTTCAGTTTAATAGCACAAAACACAGCTCTTTATGAGCCCAAGAGTGACCTCTAGGAGTGCTGAGATGGTATAGCTGTAGAGCAACAAGACCTGCCAGCTGCAAAACAATACTCCTTTCATCTCAGGAGAAAATTGATAGCGAAAAATAGATCAGCGGGTGAAGCTGATGGTTTATATCTCTCTCCATTACTGGTGTCATAGATTTACCAACTCTTTTGCTGGGTTAGCTGGCAGAACCACTGAAAGATGTTGTCCTACCCTGCTGCTGCTCTCAGTCACTTATCCACGCCTTTGTCATCAGGTGCATCCTTGCAGACATGCAGTGAACTTAACTGGGTAACTGACATGGATCAAAGCTAAACTTTTTTTTCTCCCATTCTGAATTAGTTTTCAATCACATCAATACTTGGATCCAGATCACTTCATGCCTGCAGTAACACTTTTGCTGGTGTAGGAGAGAAAAAGCGAAAATAGAAACAGGAGCACCAGCTCATATCACCTCACTGTGTACATGAAAATATGGCGTGATCATCCATTGCTCAGTCATGTATCACTCCTTACACTGTCTGCAATAGCACTAAGCTAGAGCTAACCTGGAATTCACCCTTACCTAAAACCTGTTTACAATTTCAGAAAACAAACATGATGCAATTGGGGCAGCTATTTTGTAGCAATCTTGCACTGACATAGAAGCTTATCTGTTCCATAGTTCTCACAACACTTTACACTAGGTAACAGGTATTGCTTCTAGCCATGTTTCAGGTCTTGATTTTTCCTTCTTATTCAGGAGCAAAACAGCAGTGTTGAGAGAAGGTAGTTCTGATGATCCAGCCCTGGGTACCCAGCCCTACACTGGGCAAATACATCTGCATTTCCTGGAGTGACCTATGCAGTATGTCTGGAGGGATCAACTTTCTCCGCCTACCATTACGTAAGTGCCACCACATAAATCTTCCTAATAGGAAAATTAGGAACTTCCTCAGCAACATCCAGGTCCAGTTAGAGGTAGACCTCGGGTCTAAAAGGACCAAACATCCGATCCTGACACACCTTGTAAACATGAAACAGTCAAGAGTAGATGAAAACAACATATCTTAAATGCATACAAACCAAAGACAGAAAGCCAGACAAGAGAACAGGCAACATCTTAAAACCTCTGTTCAATTATGCAATGTGATTTACAGTTATTTTTGTACAGAGATGTCTGTCCAAAGACATTCAGCTACACAATTTAGGAATGTGTTAATGGCATGCATTTCTCTAAAAGCAGTAATTTTAAAACTGCCTTTCCTGAGTGTGTGCTACAGACAAACAGTTCATTTTGAGAGAGAAGAAAAGGAGAAAAAGAGAGAAAGAGGAAAGCAGAGACTTTATAATACTGAAAAAGCTGTGTGGGAGCACCAACAGTCCTCAAATGGGGCCTGAAGGTTACGTGGCTACATTGACAAGATCAGTCTCATTCCCTTGTGCTAATAGACATGAAAACTGATTCACATTAGAGACAATCAGCCCCTGATATAAAGTAGGTGTAACCTGCTTTAGCACTGCTTCTCATTCCCAAACAGTATAGCTTGCATATCATGATAGTTGAGGGAGAAGTGAGGCAATGGTTTACTTTAATTGCCAGCTATCATAAGCAAGTATCAGATTTGCTACAGAGTGGCCCACAGAACCAAAAATGTATTAACATTTGCCCAAATACCCTCTTACAGCTCCAGAACATGCACAGCCCTGAGCAACTTTCACCTTTGCTATCATCTGTAAGCAGTCCCATTTTCAGAAAGCCACAAATTCTTTACTTTCATGTTCAACCACTTCATACCCTGCTACTTCAGAAATTTCACTGGCAAAAGTACAGCAGTTAACTGATGAAGTCAAGAGGTAGGTGTCAGGTAATGAGAGGTAAGAATAACGCCCTGTGGCTTTGATTCAAAGGAAAGCAGCTGTCAGTGCTTCAGGCTGGTAGTATATCCCCTCACTGCTATATTCTAATACTGCATGGTTGGTTCTGATGCAGGTAGTTCAGGCTGCTCTTTAAGATGGGTATGTGGAATTTGACATCGTAAAATTACGGTTACAGCACGTTTGTTCGGTCCTTCATTAGCCTGTAAAGTGCTAAAGTCATCACAGTTTCAGGACTCTTCCTTTGCAGGCAGTCTTGTTACTTGAGCTCTCTCCAAGCTATACTAAGAACTTTCTCTCCACTCTCTTCTTATTTCTCACCATCCTCCTTGGAAAACCCACTACCAGCTAGAGGAGACATTGACTGAATAGGCTTTTGCTGAGCATCTGCTACCACATTTCCTCATTACATTCTGAAATTATACTTTCTAGTATTCACTAAAGACACGCCACAGATGACTTGTCAAGTTAAATATCCTTCCTGTGCAATAACAGCACACTATAAAGCCCTTGCCCTGTAACTTAAATGAACATAAAAGGACGTATACACACACCCCCTCCATGGAGTTAAAATAGATGACTAGCCATGCCTAAGAGCTAAATGCTGCTGGTAGCAGCTTTCTATCACCTAGCTGTTGCAGTACTGCATTTTCTGGAGATATATAAAGTTCTGTATATAAAAAATGCTTAGAGCAAGCTGTTTTTCCAATGTACAGTTCTGCCTCCCCATCTGAGGCCTGAGGAACCTCCATTTTTCAGTCTTTTACATTGATACAATTATCAGACCAGTGGCAGCATCTCTCCTTGAAATCTACAGGGTTGTCCCATTCCCAACAGCTTAAAGGTGCCTTTCATGCTACTTGGGTAGAATTCCCCCTCAAAATACTTTGATGCAAATTTTGCCCTCAGGCACAAAACTAGGGAAGATATTGTCCCTGCTTTGAAGTCAGTCAATGTCTTGCTGTAATGAGCTGTCTGCTGAAGATGGATATTCACAGACCCTGCTGGCCTAGGGAAGGAAGTCTAGCAAAGCACAATGACTAACTGAGCCAGGTTGTCTCTTTCAGATAAACAAGCTTAAATTACAATTCAAAAACCTCAGAAAACTGTCTTCAAAAACTTGAAAAGGCCAGAAACTAAAAACGGTGGTTTTGGCATTTCTCAGGACTACTTTATTGCACTAACTTCCAAAATGAGGAATCCACAAAAAGTAAAAGCGTTTCACAAGTAAGTCTGTTAGCTGGGTAAGAGCTCCTTACCCCACAAAGGAAATCTATGACCGCAGCACCATTACTTACAGATTCCTGCATGGGGTGGCTGAGAGGTTTGTCGAGAGCTGCCATGCCGCTTGGCATGTCTGGGGGATGTGACAGCTGTGGCCCATGCATGAAGTCATTCATAGATGTGCCACCGGGATTGCCGTGCGGGAAGTCAAAATTGCCATGACCTTGATAACTGTTGCCTAAAAGAGAAACAAACATGACATGAAAGAAACCATTTGTTTCCCAACACTGATCTCCCAGAGGATCCTGTAAAAGCCGTGTGGCGTGGCATGGCATCCTCCCTGCACAGCACAGGGCAGGTGCAATGCTGAAAACGACAACACTGTGATCCCCAGTGCTGGAGCGAGCTGGATGAATAAGGGATGAAAAAACAGCACTCAGCTTTCAAATACTGGCTGCTCTACTAATTGATGTACATGGTGCAACTAATTGAAACTGCTGACATTTTGAAAAACTACTGTCAAGTCACCACATAAACTTAACCAAGTTGAGAAGTGAAAGGGATATTAAATTCTATGGAATGTTTGCATTTGAAAGCATCTCGGTGCAACTCACTGACTGTCCAAGTCCAAAATTATTTATAGGACAGCTGTGTTATTTATGGCTATACTTCTACACACTCTGACTTCTGCAAAGCCTTTGACATGGTCC